TTCTAAATTTTTTGTTAAATCCATCCATGTATCTTAATGTAAAATCTAGTTGTAGAAAAAAAATATCACCACCACCACCAATAACAGCATCAAAAACCTACCTGTGATGTCAATTTAGCAAGAAGTCCTCAGCCTCAATCTCTCAACCCTTTAATATATGATAAAGTTCCTTGTCCTTCACCATATTCCAGGAAATGTCTGAGCAACTTGATCTTGGTTCAGCCAGAATTTCCTTTACTCCTGATCTTTGCTTTCAGTTTTTGTCTATACACTGGCCCCTTGACTAAAAATGTCAACTTGCCCATTCAGATTGAGCCCAGTTCTATATCAAGTTCTCCTTCCCCTGGATTGGAACAATGCTGAATAAAATCTGCATGTACCACTTTAGCGATTGTCCATCTCTGGTTTTTCTTTGACGTAGATTATTATTTTCTGTGGTATGAATCAGGGTTTTCAAGTAAGACAGTTGTGAAATCCCATTACTCTTTTTTCAGTTTAGTCTATGAGTACATTTTTGTAGCATATGTTTACATTCCTTGTGGGAAATCAGTACATGTACACATGTACTTTTACATACTTTTCCCCTGCCTTCCCCCTCATACTTTTCCCCTGCCTTCCCCCTCCCTTCACCCCTTGAGTGCCCCCCCCCATTTTTTTGGTACGCATTTGCAGTACCTAATGTTTTCATTCCTCATTATTCTTTTAAGATTTCCAATGTCTTTTCACATAATTTCAAAACTATTTTATTTTTATTCTCAAGCCAGCAAGGAGGCAGAGGGGGGCCTAAGATAGACATTTTTACAAGTTTCTTCCAAATTCCAAAATTGAACTGCCAAGGGGACAGAACCCAAGGAAATGAATGGTAGAGGCAAGGTCTTCTAATTTCTAATCTCTGCCTAGCTCAAAGCAGAGATATTTCTCTGGAAGTCATGAATCAGAATGTCACCTCTGGTTTCAGAAGACTTAATAACTCTGTTTGGGTGTTTAAACAAAATTTGTGCCCAGCAATAAGTTAACTAATATGGATAAAGAAGTATAGAAAACAAGAAGTATAGAAATGTGAATATGAAATGTCCACGTAGAGGAAAAGAAATGTCTGGGCTGATTTTAGGTATGTAGAATAATCACAAGCTTCCAGTTTGCAACCTGAGGACTAAGTGATTTTCAGTAAAGGATAAAAATACTCAAATAGGGCCGGGGATATAGATCAGCAGTACAAGCACCTACCTGGCAAGTGTAAGGTCCTGAGTTTGATTCCCCGTACCAAGAAAAAAAATAATCAAATGACTATAATAATTTTCATATAAAGTGCCTATCTGATTGCTTGCTATATGGTAGGGATTCATCCAAAGTTTTCACTTTCCTTTGTTTAGGAACTCATGTGTTTTGCTTTAATATGTCAACTACAAAACTAGGTTTTACCAGCTTTTTCGACCATAATGATATGGGAAATGTTATTTAAAGAAAAAGAGGAATGGAGTGATTTAAAGGCACACAAAATCAAAATACAGGATGGATGGGCATAATAATATAAATACTAAGAATTATCATTTGTAATTTAAAAGAGAGGACAGAAGGAGCAATCAATGTGCTTTGGCAGTCAGAAATCTGAATTAAATGATTTGTAAGTTTCACACTACTTTGAAAAGGCAATATGTTATTGTGGAAGAAAGAAGAAAATTCTTACTTGATTTCCACCTTCCCCCTCTTTCTGGAATATTAATCTAAGATTCTAAAATACTATTCTGACCAAGTTTATAAGTAGTTGTGATAGAGGTAAACTTTTTCTTTAAAACATTAGGTTCCCGTCACTTCTCATCCTTTTGGCTAAGATCAGCTGTAAAAAATCATGTTTTCAGAAAGAACTTCTCCTGTCTCCTCCTCTTACCCATTCTGAGGAAGCAGAAGGGAGTGGGAGGTTGTGTTTTCTGGGAAAACCAACCCTCTTACTTTCTCACTTTAACCTCTTTTTTACACAGAACTAGATTACTAATTGTCCTGCCCTGAGGGCCAGACCTTTCTTTGCTTTTATTCTTCTAATTTGTTGACAGAATGCGTGCCCTTGAGAATGCAAATCCCATCATTTGGTGATAAAGAGGAGTTGAGAGGCTCACCTTCTCTCCCTTAGGGCTTAAATTTAAATCCTGTTTTAGCCAAATTACCATAGAGCTCTGCATGAAGAATTTTGTCTATTAGGACATGAACAAAGCTAACCAATAAAGTGGAACCATGTTTTCCATTTGCCATTTCCCCTTGTGCTTAAACTTCTCAGAATATAAAAAAGAAGAGCAGCTATGGTTTGGTACATGTGGTATGTGTGTGTGTGGGTTTGTGTGTGTGTTCGTGTGTATGTTGAGGATAGAATACATATGTGATGTTACTGAGCCTCTTTACCATGACACTACTTTAATATTATGATTCCATAATCTCTCACAACCTGACATCTTGAGAAGGGAAAAAAGGAAATAGGTCAGAGAACGAGCAGGATTGAAAGGATACAGAGGCCAATGCAGGAAATAGCCAAACATGGGTTACTCTGCACAGTTTGGAAAGCTCAGATCAAATTATACATTGATTGATTAATTAACTGATTGATTAATTGATTTAGACCAGATTTTGCTATTTAGGCCAGGCTGGCCTTGAGCTCACTCTGTAGCCCAGGCTGGCCTCAAACTCACAGTAATCCTCCTGCCTCAACCTCCCAAGTGCTGGGATTACAGGCACACACTAGCATGCCTGGCCAAAATGATACTTTAAAAAAAAATATTTTAAGGGAATCTAAAACATACTCTAGTATGTAAATTTGTTAATTTCAAGATACAAAGTTTATTTAAATGAAGAAGTTCAAGTGGCTGAAAAATAATAGATACTAGGTAACATTACCATGCCTATTGTTATAAAGTGAGTTTTGTGCCTGTGTGTGTACGTGTGTGTGTATATACCTGGGTGTGCAATCAGTGGCGTGTGCATGCATGTATGAGTGTATATGTGTGTGGTGATTCTGTTGATGGTAGTAACAAAGTAGATGGAGTATCAATTTCTAACTCTAAAATACTATCTCAAATTCTCAAGGAAAAGCACAAAACCAAACCAAAACAATGGCAAACTAGCTAAATGAAGGCTTCTGACAAGTGTCCACATTTCAAACTCAGTGCATGGAGCATCAGGTAAGTTATAGTAGGACCTCAGGTTCTCCAATTTACAACAGTGTCACTGTCACACTAACAGTAAGAAAAAATAGTTCCTCTACAGCACCTTCATTTTCCATAAGACCATCACAGAGCTGAGGCCACAAGACAATCAACCTTATTCCTAAGAGAAAAACAGGTGTGTTCAGCACATATACAGGAGAGCCCAGGAAACCCACAGTGGGCAGTCAAACCACCGTGGGGTAAGAAATCACCGAATACTTCAGCCAATCAACATCGCGCATAATGGTTGACACCAGGACTGGGGCCACTTCACGGAATCCCCACGTGGAGAGAGCAGCACTCAAACTGCCAAAGTATATTTTATACTATTAGGGACTGTGATATCATGGGACGATTGTCAAATGCTATAAATTCCAGATATACATTGTCCTCCTCTAACTTTTCTCATTTTCTCTGCTTTTGAAGATTAGCTATAAATCCTATAGTGACTCATTTTTTCTCAATCTCATCTTGGCTAGAATTGCCAGGATATGGAAAAGAAATGGGATCATGGAGTTCAATAAGAAGAAAGAGCTACTTTGTTTGCTTCTCAGAGTCAGAAAAATATGTGCTCTACACGCAAAATTCAATGTCTCAGCATGGTGAACTGTAATTAATAAACAGACTTCTACATATGTGAACAATGAAGGCACTGGCAATTTTTTATATATAACTTTTATCAAATCAGTGCTTCTCTAACTAACTTCAACCACTGACTCTATTAGCTTGATCTTTGCATCAGTAATGACAGCAGCTCTTGAGAGGTTAAATTTGTTTTGTTTACCCTTTAAGTTATACTGAAGAGAAAATGATACGGCTTCATGGACAAGAGCGTCATCACTGTTATCCAAACCAGGAAAAGTTAGTAAATTTTAAATCTGCATTTACCATAAAATAAAGCCATGCACATTCTGAGATCAAGTTGTGGTAAGTTGAATACACACATTTTGAGCAAAGCTTGATTGTCTAGGTTAACATTCCAATTTCACTGCTGTCTATCCAAACTTGTGGGCAGGTTTTCTGACTCTTCCAAGACTGGATTCTCTCATCCACAGTATCTAGATGTTGGTAATGTTTGAACCAGAGGTTTATTGTGAAGATTGAAAGAGCCAGTTCATTATGTACTCAGCCTGGCACGAAGGAAAGATATCAATGACTAGACCAGGTAAATGTGGTTAGTATGACTATTCCTCCTCACCTCCATATCACAGATGCTGAAACCATATCTCAGATATCTCATATCTCTCAGAACTGCTAAACTTTACTCAAGAAAACACTGAATACTGAAGAGAAAATGATACTTTACTCAAGAAAACACAGCCAGTAAATAATGAACCTAAGCTTACAATATCAATTTGGTGGCTTGTGGATCATACTCATTCCCCTCACATTAATTTTTTTAAGTAAGACCAGAATTTGGTTTACATATGTTACATGAATCACAGACATTTTTGATGAAATCTATTCCAAGCCCAAGAGCAATAAATCCACATCAACTGACAGATAACAAAGAAAATAATTTGCAAGCTGTTCCAAGGGTTATACAACTGAGAATAATCCAAGAAGAATCTCAATTTGAATCAAATATATAACTCATCAGACATAATAAGGAAAGTGGTTCTATTAATATGATTCATCAGTATAATTCTCTAAGTTTTAATAACTTATATGCAGTTATTAATGTACTTTATAATTGCAGAACTGAATATACTTCAAAATGGACTACAAGACAAGGATACATGCCAATTAATGGAACAAAGTTTTCATAGTGAAAAGAAAAAAAAGAACCCCTAAATACAAAGCACTTACTGCAGCTTGCCGATGAGTATTGGACAATATTCCATGAATCTTCACTTTGTCCTTTTCCATTTGGTCAATATTCACCCACAAATCCCGGCTGGCAGAATCAGATGGCCCATATATCCGAGATATGTAATAATTGTGATCTGTATCCTCCTGCAATGAGAGAATGTTATATATCAGGAACTGAGACAGTTTCCCTAAAATTATTTTTTTTTTAAAAATCTCCCTGAAATTAGAAGTGTTGGTGGTCTTCAAAATAACCAAGTGGCTTAAATCACCTCTAAGAATAAAGATTAGATGAAAATAACATTTATAAAGTTAGTAATTCTCAGCTGGGCCTGGTGACACACACCTGTAAACCCAGCACTCTGGTAGGCTGAGGCAGAAGAATTGCAAGTTGGAGCACAGCCTGGGGAAATTAGCAATTAGCAATCCCCTTAGTAGGGAGAATGAAATGTTCTAAAAGGTGATTTTGTTGAGGAACAACTGTCTCAAAATAAAAATTAACAACAAAGGGCTGAAAATGTAGTTCAGTGTAAAGGCTTTGGATTCAATTTTCAATACTTTGAATGAATGAATGAATGAATGAATGAATGAACAAATAAATAAAACTTGTTGAAAATTAAAAAGAGTAAATGCAAAGTGCTGGGATTACTTCATAGTATAAAGGCCCAGGGTTCAGTCCCCATTAAAGAAGAAACAAAACAAAACAAAAACACCCCACAGAAACTCACTAATCCTCCTTCAAAGAAACTACTAAGTACTTAGAAGCAAATGTATATTATGTGTACACTGATGTTTTCAACTACAGCAATGTTAGTGATGTAATTTCTGCGCAAAGTAAAAAATGTCTTAGAAATGTTTACCGAAAATTTGAGATGCAAGTACTATTGAGTGAGAAATTTCTCTTCTTTAAAAATTAATCAGGAACTACTTTCAGTTACTGGCCCTGGAAATTCAGATAAACATGTTCATTTAGTTTGGCTTATTAATTTGTACTTCTGTGAAACTCAGAATGAAGCCGCATGCTTGTAATCCCAGTATTTGGAAGCTGAAGCAGGAACATCACAAGTTCAATTCCAGCCTGGGCAACTTAATGACTTAACAAGACCTTGTCTCCAGATGAAAAATGAAAAATTCAGAAAGGGATGAAGATGTAGCTCAGGGCAAATATGCTAGATTTAATTCCCAGTACTGCAAATACATATGCACATACACACATAAATATTCTACTTTTATTTAAATTCTCATTATTGGTATCACTATGGTACCTTTCACACAGCCTTTATATAACATATTTTCCCCTTAGAAGGAGAATGAAATGTTTGAAAAGGTGATTTTGTTGAGGAACACCTAGACAAATCACATAATTCTTGACTAATTCTGACTGCAAAATTATTTTGACAATAAAATGCAATTGGGCTTATCAACTTAAAGAATCTCTAAATAGAATGTATTTTCAGATATTCAAGTGCTTAAATGTGGGAAATGGTTCTGTGAATAGAAGGCTTATAAACTGAGTAAAAAAGTTTGGGATGTGAATTTTTTGTAAAGCATTTATCTAAATGCTAGTTAAATAAAACACAAGTGTTCTTGACATTCTGTCAAAACTAGAATTCCATTTACTTTCTTGCAAAAATTATATATATATATATATATATATATATTTCATATAAATAATGTGGAAGAAAGTAAAGATATGTATATTTGATTATGGAAGGAAAAGAATATTCTCAGCTGTATGCTAAAGAGATTTTACCTCAGGACTAAAATAAACAATAGAACTTGAAGTGTGAATGTTGAGAACAGTGATTCAATGTTAATGGTAAATGGACTTCTTATTTCTTAAACAAAGATCGTAGGTAAAGTTATAATTCAGTTTCATTTACCATGTACAAACTATGCACATGCACACAAGAAAGGAAAGGATTTTTAAAGAAAGAAGGAGAAGGGGATGTGAAAATAGATGCAGGAATAAAATGCCATGTAGCCTGAGGAAGACCCATTTCTTTCCGGGTTCCCAGTCTGCCTTCAAGATCACAGGCCACTGACCATTTGGGTCCATGTGGACAAAACACACAGCGGGTATATATCCTAAGGTGCATGGAGTCCTCTGTGATGTCTGATGTCTCAACACTGGAACTGAACTTCAGAGGTGGGCACATCCATGACACTGGGCACAAGCACTTTGCCTATGCCATGCTCCCAAACACAGTGACTGGGGGGCACGTACGAGTTCATAACCTAAGGACCAGCAGGGAGACATTCAGGGATTGTGGTGGAGAGATACTTTCCCCGAGTCTGACTGCTGAAGTGTGAGTGCTTGTATACCACTGCTGTGGAAAGCCAGGACATTTAGCACGACGTCCCTGAGATTCTCCTTTTCTGTTCTCAAGATTCTTGCTGAGTTAAAAGGACACTGCACTCAAATAGGGACTGGACATTTTAGATAAATATTATCTGAAGGATGCTAGAAACTAGGCAAACTAGTGTTATTTGTAGAAAACGTCTTTCTGCTCATATGTGAAGTCTGCTATTTCTTGGACTAGGAATCAGACAACAGAACAAAGCAAGCTAATGATGTTATGGCTCTGTAGTTAAAGCCCACTCCTTTTGGTGCAGAGCAGAGCACTGCTATTGTCTATCTAGCCACCACTGGACACTGCGTGCTTGCTGGGGATTTTCCTATGTGGCTCGCCACTGCAGCATCCTCTGGCATTTTCCAGTCTAGGAGCCATGGTCCTTGGACCTCAGAGATTAACTAGTCCAGCTGTCACCACTTGACATTCCAAGTATGTCATGGTGACTTTCCTGTCCAGCTCACTGCCACTGGGTTCTATTATTTTCTGCTAGTATCTCTCAACTCTGTCCTGTATTAACTGCCCGGTACATTTGGGCTGTGGACCAGACAAGATGAGACCTTGCAAATACTGCCATCCTTTTACCATCATGAGGAACACCTACCTATGTGCAAACACATGTATGAGGTCAAAACTACAAGCACTTTTTTAAAAAAGCCACCTGCCTGACCAAGTTCATCTGTGTCTTTATGTCTTCACCTATGTTCAGTGCCTTTTATTGTTACATTACTTAGGTTATTGTGAACCAAAGAATGCTGATTGAAAACAGGCTTACCTTGAAACCAAACTTTAAGCAATACTGAATAAGGCAACTTAGATTTATAGGTTGGGCTAACAAACATCTCTCATTCATTTTTGGTATCCATTTATCTAGGTAATTTTATAGAAACGGAAGCTTGTGTAATTTTCCAGAAATCATTAGGTCAGAATAACAAGTGATAATGAGTGATAGAATTTTTAAAATTAGAATTATGAAAGGATGTGGCTTTAAAATAATGAGTTCTAATAAAAATTACAATTTTTATCACTATTGTCAGTGCTATTACAAGAGTTCAGTAATATTTGGGACAAAGATTTGTATCTTTAGGGAAATTATATAACAGATTCTATGATGTGGCCCAATTTTCACAGAATTACTAATTCATCAGATAGAAAATTCTGGAATATAGTATAATTATTAAAATCAATATAAAATGACATGTTTTTCCTTTAATCTCTAAATCATTGTAATTAGTTAAGAAATAATCTTGAAGTTATCATAACCTAATGAACTATCTGCAAAAATATACAAGATTTTTTTAAATTACAATGTATAAAGTTGATAAGGCTATGTCAAAATACACTTAACTGAATTTTTTTTAACCTAAATCTCAGCTGTAAAAACCAGTATCACATCTTCAAAAATACTGAAAAGCCAGACTAGCACTCAGTATTTGACTTCTATAGCTCAAGCTAGCCCAGTTGTCATGGCAACTTTTATTCAAGGAGGAAAACAATTTATTATTTACCTAGGAATGTAGACACACAAGTTGTTAAGTTCCAGGGAGGTGTCTGGTCAGCTATTTAGCCAAGACATAGAATAGATATCTCAAAAATGTGACATTTTAAATTATTCAAATCCCATCTTGTTCTTTTATAGGAGTAATAATATTTAAAGATTTGTTAAGAGTCACTCTAGACACAGAGATTTTTATTTTCTGTTTCAAAGTAAATTATTTCTAACACAATAGAAAATAAAACAAAACACTACTGTGATATGATAGTTGCCAATTCCTTTAGGAAACCAACTGTTACTGAAAGTAGATGGGGCAGAAAGTAGCTATAAATCTGCAAATCCCTATTTCTTAAAAATGCCTGGAAATGTGCAGCTGAAGATAGACATAGGGCATATACCAAAAATACAGAGGACAAATCACCATAACTGCAGCATAGCTCTTCTGCCACAATCAGTTTACATAATTTCTAACAAATGTTTTTCCTGCCTATCATAGGTGTTGAGTGGATTTTATGATGGGGAATTGTTGCAGATGCTTAAAACATCCTTGTACAGTAATGGTATCTGAACTCCAAATTTGTTCCATTGAGAACTTAAACAGAAACAAAAAAATCAAGACCATATTGTTATGATCATCACTGCGCTAGTCATTTGATATACACAGAGACATAAAATACAGTCAAAGTTCTTAGATAAAGTCCTTTAGCGCTGAATTAATTGCCTACCTCTTGAAGGTTGTTCATTAATAAATAAAGGAACATTCTAATTTGAATCTAATATAAATGTCTAATGTTTCATGCAGGTAATTTGTAGATAAACCTGGAGGCAGAGAAATGTAGTTTTAAAAGGAGCAAACTCAACATTTTAATTTTTAACGCAATTTTTTGAGGTAAAAGTCTGAAATTAGTGCCCTGCAGGTTGTGTACATGCCAACAAAAGCCAGCAGAGAAAAACTCCATTCATCACTGCCTTCAAATATAATACTGAGGATGTAATTCCACTTTCACAAAATTACATCTCTCCAAATTTGAATGTGTGTCTCTACTCACCTACTTCTCCCTGTCCTCTATGATTTACATTTGGGTGTAGATACAGCATGTGTATGTGTGTGTGTGTGTGTATCTCTCTCCCATTTTTCTCTCTCTGTGTCTCTCTGTGTCTCTCCCTTTCTGTCTATCTCTATGTCTCTGTCTCTATATACTACATAGAAGTTGTATTTACAACTTTACTGAAGGATAATTTGTACATGTTGGGAGTTAGCAATTTCTCCCTCTGCAATCTGTATTATCTGAATTGCC